AAACTTTTAAAGATTTTGCTGGTAGTTTTACTTTTTATAGGCTGGTTGGAATTCATTGGCTTTGTGTTACCCTTGTGAAATAAATATAAAAAATATATTATTATTATATTTGCCCGAAACAAAATTAGTCACATAAAATATACAGTATTCTTATTTAAGAGGGAAACATTTGTGATTAAGTAGTCCAAAGATATTGATACTGCAGTTAGGAATACATAAACCTTCTCTCGTTTTTAAGTATCAGTGGTGTGGTTTATAATATTGTCGCCTAGCAATATTTAATGTAAATATTAATCTGTCCTTGTTATAAATGTAAAATGGTTTGTCCTTTTTAGAACTTAGTTATTAATTTTAAATAATTCCTGCGCTTATGAAGATTTATCAATATCAATTTACGTTCATCTTAAATTTACAACTAACTGCACTTCGTGTACGTAACAACCGAAAATCAAAACCGTTGATCATCTAGTTCACCAGAACTTGTAATACAGGGAGGATATAATAGAAACCACTGAGAAACTAAGTTAAAGTTGATATATCTCAGACTTAAAATAAATTCGTATCTTTTACTTATTATTGAAATAGGAGAATATTTATTTTAAATATCATAAATAATAATGTTGATCAATTAATTCCTTAAAGTCATAGAGTTAAACTTAAAGTAAATTTGAATTTCGTTCAAAACAACAACTTGTCATTCGATAACAGTAGTTTTAAGACTGTTTATTCAAATTAGAATATAAACTCAATATATAAACATTTATTCAAGTATAAGTACAAGAACAATAAAGTATGTCGATCTATATTTTATGTGCCAGTTTAATTAGGTGCATATCACTTTGATGTGAGGAAAGTTCAAACATTAGTGTTTCTCCAATCATTTATCGAGCGTCACTTAGCAGTTAGAATGGATCCACAGTCCGAGTTCCGTTACTGTGGACGCCCCAGTGGCACGGTGGTATGTCTGCGGACTTACAACTCTAGAATCTGGGTATAGATACCCGTGGTGGACAGAGCACAGATAGCCCATTGTGGAGCATTGTGCTTAACTACAAACAAACAAACCGTTACTGTGAATTTACTGTCTAGATTTTCGGGCTGTGAGTGCGTTATGAGAGTGACGGTGAAATCCCATAATTCGATTATAGTAGTTCAAGTATTTGTAGCGAGTGGTGTTGGCTAGCTGTCTTCTCTCTAGTCTATCAATTCAAAATTAAGGACGAGTGCCACAGATAGATTTTGTATTGTTTTGTTGTTGTTGAATTTCATACAAAGTTAGGGTTATCTCCGCTATACATCCATAATTTTGAAGTGAGAGACTAGGCATGGGCTACTTTTTACTGATGAATAGTGAGATTGGTCGTCACAGTATAATAACCATAAGGCTGTAATGACAGTCATGTTCGGTGACGGGATTCGATCTTGCGACTGTATACTTCATCTTCTTCCCCCAGTACTTCAGTGGTAAATCTGAAGGCTTATAACTCTAAAAACTGGGTTTCGTTACTCGTGCAGGGCACAGCACAGATAGCCCATTGTATAGCTTTATGCTTCACAACAAACAAACAAAAGTAAAACTACATTTTTACGTTCATTGCGTAATTTTCAAATATAAATATTACTTAATGGCACGTTAAACTAAATGGTTTGTTAACACTCACGTCATAAATTTCTGATACATTTTTCGTTTTGGCGTCTCTAGCAGTATTTTCTTCATGTTCCTCATGTTTTAAGTTATAATCACCAATTTGTGAATATTTTATATAATCCAGGTTTCCTTCTCTCTCTGGATTTCTATCATGACAACACTGTGATATCATGAGATTCTGTCGTTTCCAAATTATAATACTGAAAAAAAAATTAATTTTGATAAATATGTATATTGCTATGAGCATCAGTAAATAGATATATATATCAAAAGTAACATGAGCTAAGCGACAAATAGCAACAATTTAACGTATTCTGTTAAATGTTAACGTCATTATAATAGTGT